GACAATAAATTATGTCCGAAAAGTTGTCCAGTAAATGCTACTGTTTCATTGTGTGATATTTTTAATAAACAGACTAAAATGGAATTGCACTCGACCACAGTGCCCAAGTTTTACACTTATAATGGGCTATTATCAAACAATAGGGTATAATTACAACACTAACCTAGTGCTAAAAAAAGCCCAAATGATGAATGCAAAGTAGTTGCGTAATAAACTAAGACAGTAGAAATATCGAAGAAGGCAAGGAGTTTGAATAGGTGAAAATTTTTGGTAGATAAGAAAATTCGGGCAAAGACCCAATGACAATGAAGGAACTCGGTGGGTTTCTGAAGTTTTGTGTCAGGCTTGTCGCAGCGAATACACAGATTAGTTTTCTCAAAGGCTGCATAGATAAACGCTAATATCCAACTCCGTATTGCAAAAGTTTTCGCCGAAATAACATTGGTCCAACTCATAGTTCTCTAAAGCATTAGACTGAATATCATTGATGAAACGAAATCGCGATTACCTGAATTGGAGCTTAATCTCTCAATAAGATCCCATGCGTTGTTCGATCTATCCGAAGACGAGCACGTTAAATTCACAGACTGTGTCGAGACGGTGTCAAAATTTCGATCAGAAGACGCTTAACTGAAGTTGATAAGATGTCTTATAGAGTCCGAAATACTTCTCGTTTTCCAGAAGCACCAGAAAAATGTGCATTCAATTACTTCAAGGTAGATTTGACTCCCATTCAAATGCAGGTATTATCTCTCGGTCCAAAATTTTGCGATACCTCAGTAACTGCCAGTGATTTAGACATAAAAGTCCAGTTTGAAAATCTTATCAACCAAACAAATGATCTCTTACCAGTTCCAAACAATAACTTGAACAGTTCAAATCTACTGTCTTTAATTGCTGTCATCAATACCTTAATACGAAGCCACAATGCAAACAATTGCTGACAAATGAGCAAAGAAACAACTGCATGAAATCTTGAAGGATAAAGATTTGCTGCTAGTTCATCCAGATAAAAGCGCTGGTATCTTCCCCATGGATCGTTTGGATTACAACACAAAAATGGTCTCTATCTTATCAGATATAAGTAAATTATCCAAAGAGTCTGCTCAGATGATGCCACTGAACAAACTGAACGAAAGCTTACCCAAATTCTAAAGAAAATGAAGAATGAGTCTATCATCAGCTCCGAACTATTCGAGCAGTTGCGACCTTCACTGTACACTTTTTCAAATAAAACACCCTCAGCTGTCTTTCTTGAATCTGTCACGGAGTTATTTAACTCTAACATCAGACTGTCTGCATATCTTCACACTGACAAGGACGAGGAACTGTCCCAAATTCACTGAGTTGATAACAGCATTACTTGACATCAGTTAATTTGTCTCTACTGAACATTTTTATCATAGGATTTAGAAAAAACAGAATTGGTCTCGCTGCAATCCAATGCAGGACACATCCTTCACTACAGTATTCTTTGGCATGCATTTTTCAATCATTATTAGACACTCAGTCTGAGAATATTATAATCAATCTGATGTTTCATGCTAAATTTGTATACTTGTACATTCCGACTAAGTTAGTACAATGACCAAGTGGGAAAACAGTTACTGATACACAGATGTGAGAGAATACAGTCTCGATAACTGAATACCTTTTAACGAGAAATGTTGCACCTTTGCTTGATTGAAAGTAGAGTTTTTCATACTGTGAATCCGAAACATCGTGCAGAAGACTCCCATACAGTAGAAAGAGATATAACCATATTTTTACCACAATATTATCAACCAGGCTATGCGCCATACTCATCAAATTCAAACAGCTCCTATTCGCCATTTAACCCAGTTCATTTGTCTTGCACCTTGTCAATAAAAGCCTAGCTGCTTATCAAGAAGTGTGAATACGAATTCCACAGTAAATAATTAAAGTAATTCGCCTGAGGAGGTTCAAGAAATTCATGAATTTACGGAGGCCAGATATATTTAACCCGACAACTGTTCAGCTGATCAACTAATATGGACACAATTTGTTCAGTGACAAACTAGCAATCGTACAGTTCATAGAGTCAAAGACGCTTTTTGGAGTGAATGTCATTCCAGACAATGATGATAAGTTGTGAGAAGCAAAGAAGAGTATGAAGTAGTTAGGAAAGAGAATTTCTCTGGAAATGAGAAATTTTTGGGTTTCGGAACATACGGAATGATGATAATGCCTCATGGGATGAGAAGTGAATTACTAACCTCATTTTCACTACAGTCTCTGTATATCTTTATAGTTAATAAAGCATACTTAAGATGAGACAACAAAGTGCTTAATTCTCTCAAAAACAATAAGATATGTCAACACTGATAAAATATAATAGTCAGCAAAAAGGGGCGAGTGCAGTGGCTTCTGAAGTCCTCAAAAAGCCGCAAACTTTCGATTTATCCTCCAGTGGAGACGGAGAACCGCTTGTGTTACATGTTTCAAGTGCAGACATAAGTCATACCTTGTTTTTCCACACCATAAAACACATTAGAAATGTAGCATTACAACGTATGAAATCCAGTACAATTTGGAAAATAAGAGAGTTCATTCTTTTGAAACCCGTTTATACTTGACAAGATACAGATAAGTTAGGACTTGAAATCCCCGGAAGTTTGAAAGTCTATAAAGTGAAGAAATAATATAAGCTGATGGGTAGCTGAATGAACTAGCATGAATCCAAAGAGCATGAAGCACTTTAAATTAGGGAATTCTTACGATAACACAGACGGCATTTAGCGGTAAAGACTATTAATGAAAGACGTCGAAAACAAGTTGTTGTGTAGTATACGGTAAAACGTGGGAACTGCGGTGAATTTCAATTCCATTTTAGCCTGTTTATTAGAATTATCACACAGTGAGATAGTATTATTCACTGAATAACCTCTTAAACACAATTTATTTCCCATAGTCATATCAGGTAACTCCTCACTTTGAGACATGGTTTATTTGGCCCTACTCCTCTCTCCTTCTTTGCGATAAGGCTAGTGGAACTTTTCAATATCTAGGATGCGTGCAGAATCATTTCTACTACACATAGTTGTGATGAATCGATAGACAAAGATTCGGTTATCAATCTCTCCCTCTATCCAACTAACTTGGTTCTCTATGCTGTCGCTCTATCTCACCCCATTTGGCAAGTGTGTGTACTTGCATGCGAAGCTATAGCCGAGATTTTCTGTCAATTGCTTATCTTATTATTAGGATCTACCAATCTTGTTTTAGCCAATTTTTGTGCTCTGTTATTCCAATTGACCCTGTTCGACTACTCTGACCTATGTATGCGACCTCGCAATCATTGCAAGCAATTTGGTGAACTAAATTATTCTGCTTGCTTGGATTAATAGGATCTCGCAACTACAATCTTGTTTCTGAGCGATTTTGTTGATTTAAATACTCATGAAATTCCAGTCTCAAGACAAGACATTGGGCTTTATGCAAATGGGCAGTGATAATTATAGCACAGTTATTGGCTATAAGAAATGGAAAACCGATTAGGCAGAAAAGCGTCATAATAACATTTAACATATAACATATTCCACAGTTCAACTTTACGAAACTTCGTTCTCATATTACTGATTTCAGTTGTTGTAACCTGAACCTTTACTCAGCAATGCCAGGTTCTTTACTGATAGTGTTTGACTGACTGCAATGCCATATACGTACATTTCATCTTTGAAAAATGACTAACCGGATGGCTAATATACATCAGTTTCCTACTGACAACGAATAAGCAGACAAACTTTAACTCGTCTAACGCTCAGGTTATTTAAATTAACTAAATGGTGGTTTGTTGTCCTGAGGTGTCAGTAATTAAAACGGACTGTTTCGTAAACAGTCTAAAATCTTACAGATCCTTATTTGACAGTGAAACAGTAGTACATATAACTGTATTCATATGATTGCATTTATTCACATCAGTGAGTGATGATACCGTCCAGCAAGCTTCACACAATAAATAAAATCAGATGTTACGCCTCAATATTGTTGGTTGGCTAACATTTTATAGTTCACATTGGCTTGCGAAATTATTGATAGTTAGCGTGGAAAATCCCGATCCGATTAGCTTGAGTTTGACAAACAAGAACATGTATTTTCTAATACTGTGCCATTGCTAGCTCCTATTTACCTAATGCAACATGGTTGAACCTAGCAGTAACCACCTAGAAATAGATTAGCAGGATGACTAGCAACCCTACCGAAGAGGCAACGCAATACGCCATACTGAAAGCACTCGAACTATGACTATAATCAATGTTCCGAATGAAAGTAAGTTCCCAGTTAGCCCGAGTCATTCTGCAAAATGCTTCAGGATAAGTTCAACTTGCGTAATAAAAAGCAGGTGATGGAAGAAGTATATTCTGATTCCTCACTTATATCGCTGATACAGTTTAGCTTGTGAAAACTGGTGTTGCATTAATGGACTGAATGTGAATCACAGCAGCACATATACCATCCAATGATGTCCTAGTTAAAAACACCAAGTTGCATTGACAATATAAAGTGATTCATGGACGAGTCATCTTGCATTCAGGATACACCTAAGATTGGATAGACTTTCAGTTTTATATGACGGATTTGTGTATAGACGATAGAAACATTGAACAAACTCTACATAATGATTGGTGAAAATGGTGCGCATTATATGCGAATTCAAACTACCAATCTGTAAGCATATGGTAGAAAAAGCCTATCACCTTGCATAGAAATGACGCACTCCAAGTTCCAATATATCACAGCAGATAGTAAGAGGCAGCTGACCAAAATCCAATAGAAGATGACGCATTCAGCTACTAAAAGGTGATGCAATTTTCGAAAATTTCGAAGTTGATGAAATTTAGTGTCTCTTTCATACCCATAAATATGCATGTATATCAAGAAATTAATGAACGAATGTCATTGTGTTGAAACGCTACAGTTCTGTTGCCATAGCATCAAAAGCATGTGAAAATTAGACTCATTCGAAAAAGTTAACTCACAGTTTTCTTTCCTTTTATCGAGTCGTACAATTTCTCAAGTCTTTCTTTTTCCAGACTGAAATACAATGGGTATTTCTGAACAGCATTCATTGTAAGCGTGGAGTATGTTTTGTGCAAAGTATAGGCGAGACCAGGATATGAAAAGTTTGAAGCAGATCCATTGAGAAGATTCAGTTCATTTTTTTTTGGTGTTAAACAACTGTGGACTTGTTGGAAATCCGGTAAACTGAAACTGGATCCGAGAAACAACAACCAAACAACCAGCAGTACGAACAAGACAACAGCAAGTATCTTGAGTGTTGGTGATGATTTAACGGACAGTATACCACTGAAAACAGTTTTAAACATATTATGGAACTCCGAGATGGTTCGGTAAAATTATAGAAAGGAGAGTAAACAGCACTTTACCTGCAAGATTAAAGGATAATTGTAAGTCAGTCACCAATCATATGCTGGTTTCATAAAAATGGTTTTAAATATTTGCTAAATAATCAGTGTTATATATGTTGTAATGCATTGCACCCCTGTTAAGCTCAATGAATCAGTTGATGTAATATGATGCAAAGAAAACAAGTAGTTGAATTCATTGTATTCGCATGAAAAAATGTAATCAAAGGGAGTAGAATAAAGAAGGAGGAGAATGTTCCTCATGAAAGTCAGTGTCTGAGGTAAAACTGTTTCAGCAGAAGTAGTGTCATAAACAGAAAAATGTTGCTAGCTGGATAAGTTATCCTCTCAACCTAAAGCATCAACAAATTTTGTAGAATTCCATGAATTCAATATTTTTTGTCACTATCCTCATATAGTTAGGTTTTTGTTTTGTTAGATGTGGGCAATGGGAAAATGAAACGGAAAAGATTACATAAGGTCATGTATTGTTAACATAAGGTTAACAATTTCCCATGGCTTAAGGTCAAGTCGGTCTGGATTAAATGCTAAAATTGTGGTGATAAAGGAGAAATTGATTGTAAAAGGTGGATGAAACTAGAAAAACATATAGATAAACTAAAAGAAGAAATTCAGTTCGCAGAGAGATAAATTTGATGATACTCATGTCATATAATTTTATTTAAACTTCTTTTTTCAACTCTTACACTATCCTACGTCAACCAGTTATCATCCTCTTGACAACTAAAGTATGTAGATTTCATTTCTCCGTATTTTATAGGATAATTTCATGATTTGTAGACAGTTGAGAAGATAGTTGGTGACGAAAAGCAGTGAATTCATTGTATTCTACAGATTTGTTGTTGTTACAGTTTTGTTAAAACGTGTGAAGGGATTCAGTACCAGGCAAGTTATCATTTGATGAATTATGTCTTTTTTTATGTGAAAGAGCAGAAGATAATCACAATACAAGGCTGCTCTCTACATTTCCTATGATTGACCTAACTCATTCGACCTTGAATATCTCATCTATCCAGAAGTTCGTGCTTGCTTTATCTATCTTTCTCTGCGCCAGGGAATTACTTTATAAACAGTCTTATCATTGGAATTTTTTATCCCCTTCTTATTGTTCATCTTCGTTCATATACCTACCATATTTATTATTTCTTGCTACTTGGAATTCCTTGTTGTTATACTGAATCGAATAATCACTAATCACCAGGGGAATATTAGACTGTTAACTGTCTCCTTTTGAACATGTAGTTGCAGTTGAACTAAACGGATACTGACGGCTTCGGTAATCGGAATTAGGCGCGAGTTCTTTTGTCTGTTGACTACTATGAAAAATTCCATTGCATCTACTTGGTGTCCCATATCACATGATTGGCTGATATTTAACCTTCAACAGCTTTTGCCTGATCGGCTACAGGAGACGTTTAATGTGAGCATTATATCTGTGGCAAGGAGATTATGCTCTCAAGAGAAAGGGAAAGAAGAATTTCAGTTGATCGAACAATGTCTACACAATAATGGTTGTGCGATAAAGTTTGTGCAGAAGTACCGCAAAGCAAGGAGAAGAGTGCGGGATGCATAAATGTTGAACAGAAACCAACCTATCTTAATTTGGCCTCCGAATGAGATGGTGATGCGACAAGAATCAATAGACGAATTAAGAGTACACAGTCCAAAATCTATCCGGCTGCAGGACTTGTCTCACTGAATTCAACAACATGTGCAAGTCTACAATCCTCAACAGAAAAAGTTACAACTCTCGTTAACTCCAACTGTATTTATCAGTTCACATGTGCATGCTAATAGCAAGTACATAAAAAGAATACACAGGTGGTTGTCAACCAGAACTACTCAGCACATGCCAAACAACCTACTTCCCAGTGGTCCATCCTCAATTAACAGTCCAAATGCTCGTAACTTATGTGCTGATTTAAACCTATGTACATACTGATTAACGTTCAATTGTTGCTGTAATTATTGCTATCAATGTTATTATCATTCTCAGTCTTATTCGTCTTACATATCACATACCGAGAATGAGAAAGTTGTAAGAATACCTTCACTCCATATTGAAGCATTATATGCTTGATCAGAATGATTAATAACGAGACAATTGAAACTCCTGCAGTTTTACATTACTGTTACTCACAAAACGAAAGGCAATACGCAAAAGTAGTTAGCCAACTCAATTAACTATAGAAATCATATTAATTCTTTCCTTATCAATCGAGACAGACTACGAAACAGGCCCATTGAGTCGGAGAAAGATAATTCAGCGAAGAAAATTTCTTTTTAGACGATATCATTTTCTCAAGCTGTACAACCGTATTTATGTATATCATAAACATATTACAATCCATTATCAAACAATAGGGTACAATTACATCATTTACCTAGTGCTAAAAAAAACTTGAATCAGGAATGCGTTGCGTATGAAATAAGACAATAGAAATATCGAGGAAGGCAAGGAGTTTGACAAGGTGAAAACTGTTTTATAGATAAGAAACGCAAATATTGAGTGCCCACTTGATAGATAGGTGTAAAGAAGGTGAAGAATGAGACAAGGGTCATAATGAAGGTGATAATAATCAACTAATTAATTATAATGAAATCGAAAAATGAAAGTGTTAAGACCATGGTAAGATGAGAGATTGAACATACTTCTTTTGCATGCAGAGATCAGGCTTGAATTGATGAATTGCCAGTGCCTCCGCTGTGTACACCTGTCGAAGACTTACTCCTTTGAATGGTTCCATCTGACACGATAAATGACATTGAAGGAAGATTCTGGTCTAGTTTTATGTCCAGAGTTGACCAAATGTTCAAGAATTGAACTGTTAATTATTTACATTCTCCCCTCGACAACCATGCAGGATAGTGCTCCGAGATACGTTTGGAAAGCGTGCGCTTTGTGCGGCCTATAGATTTGTCACTAATGTCACACTATCTGTTTAACAAACAGAAGCCTTCTCATTTTGACCAAAGTTTTGCGTTCCCCGTATGCAATTTCCAGATTTCGCAATCCATGCAGAATTTAAAATCCGTTCGACCAACTTTACCCTTCTTGTTCCGACTGCATATGATGGTCGTGATTGGTGTAGAATCGAGCTAGTAAATGAACCTTATCATTTCTCATGAGGCTATCCAAAATGAAAAGCATTCTAATGTCAGAAAGTTTCAGAGCTTTGAAGGAGCTATGATAAATTAAGACATTACTGTGCTAAAACTTGGAAAAGGCTGGCTAGTTGTGATAATGAATAAAAGCTGTTATAAATGTAAAATTTTCTCTTGCTGGTGATAAAGTTAAATTCTGTCGATATCGCTCTTCAGAAACAGTGAAAGCACTAAAGGGAAAGGTAGCGCTTAACCTAACGAAACTCCTTAACTAAATCGTTCTCACTAGGGACAAGTTGGGCGCATTAAAACCGATAGACACCAAATTTCCACATCTATATGGCCTACCAAAAATATATAAACCCAGCTGTCCTCTTCACCCTACATTGCTAATGTATAGACCACCAACGTAATGCCTAGTTGAGTGGATAATAGAATTGTTGACCTGAATCAAAAGACAATACTGCAAGTATATTTCCAAGAAATATTTCAGTAAGTTGACTGACTTGGTGGTATCAACCATAGAAATAAATAAATAAACATATATATATATATACGTTTGCTGTTAACTTCATACTTACAAATATTCCCTTGGTCAAAACAGTTGACATTTTCTGGGACTATATTCCCACCAATAATCTGTCAATCCAACTCCCTTTACCCTAAAATATTATTTCTATACACTAACAGTGTACACTTCACATTCGAAGACAAATGCTTTCGTCAAACTGATTATTATTTTTGTTATTATCACCGTCACTTTTAAACACATCATGATGGCTTTAATTTTTACCTACGTTTAGTTATGGGTATTAGAGTAAAAGCCGAAGAAGATCTAACTGAAAACGATATTATTCACTTACACATTTCTTGCTCTAGTTTACATGAAATGAACTTTTAACAATCCTAAATAACCTGTGGTCGATTCAAGAGCAGAAATATAGTCAGCTTTTATTCCTTCATTATGTTTGTGAGCAAGTTACTTCTGAGCATAAAAATACTGATTGTGCCTGCATATTCATTTACCTTGTGTGAATTTAAAAATAATTATATTTTAGGTCTGCCATTCATGAGCCACTTTAAGACACAACCTAGTAACTTATGCAATAACCGATCAGAGTTTGGTATTTCGGCTGGGAAGGTAATTATTTTTTAAATGAAGAAATATGATTGGTTGTCTCAGCAGTTACTAGGATAGCCTTCAAAATCACTCTAAATCCCTGACCAGTTAGACAATAATTACAATCCTAGTACCAGATGAAACAGTCAGCTAGTGTCGTATGACTTTTGTTTGTCTATCAATAACCACTTTTTGCTTGATTTTGGCTAGCTGAGGAGCATAGGAAGCGTGTTTCGTCCTGCCTATGACTCGTCAGTTGGATGTACCTGCTCCTTAGAGAGTTAGCCGAAGTCGAACAGTTCCATCTAGTAAAACAACGGAGAATTAAAAGTATATCAGCAAATGGTAATAACCACTTTTATTTAAGATCTCCTGATAACACCACCTACAATGATTAAAACGTCACATATATTTTCGGTAAATATATTGAACATGCAATACTGTAGTCTCCACAGATGTGATAGTCTTGCTCTATTATATGGTGTAATGATTGTGGTGCTAGAATCGGCTTCGCATATAGCAACTACTAGTTGTAAGAGCACAAATATGCATCATAGACAGTCACAAACACGGAGTATTCATTATTTTGTGATAAAAACTTATTAGGTACTTTTTACAAGCACATTCCGATTGATATAATGGGGAATGAATCAAATCTAAAGTATATTCATCATAGTTTGTGCGATTAGTCTAAGAATGATGAGCTGAATGTCTGGGAGGTTTCAAATAAATAGTTTGTCATTTGACGAAGACTACCGCAGCAGTAAGGAGCTGA